CAATTGTACTCTATTTTTTAATAAATTTATTTTTGTTGACAAAAAAAAAATAATATTTTTTATTTAAAAGAAAATTTAATTTTTTAATATTTTCTCACTTCATTAATTTGTACTGCAACAATTTTCAGTGCTGGCTAGGCATCAAATGATGGTTTGCAATATATTGATCCGTGTGGTTTCCTTTCTCATCTTCAAGATTTGTGTTGCTGCTTTGCATAGCTCCGTTATTATACATATTTTTCTTTGTTGAAGTACTCTTTGTGCTTCTTTCAGTATTGAAATCACTTTCATTTTGCTGATAAAAAAAGTCACATATATAACTTTGTGCTCTTTTTTTTTTATATATAAAAAAAATTTATTAACAGGGCCAAGTAGCACTTCAACGCGTCACTGAAGAAACAGAATCAAAGCTAATATGTACTATATTACAACCAACGACCTGTTGATCCGAGTAGAATGAGCTCGGTTCCCCTTAGGTAAGATCTCGAGTTCGAGTCTTATGAATAGAGAAACAGGCACTGGGAGAGCTTTCCCCCTAATGGGGTCCGACGCGGTTCAATTCTAGATTAGTCGAGACCTAAAGTGATTACCAGATACTGAGAGGTTAATACAAAAAAAAAAAATGTACTATATTACAATTGAAATTCTTTTATAATATAGTTCTTGTTAAATAATTTTATATAAAAATATTTTTGATTGTCTCAGATATTATAGGAAACTATTATTTTTTTTAAAGAGTTTTCAGTATCATTGTACGCCTAATAAGATAATTTTATTTGCATGGACAAAAAAAAAAAAGTTACGTGCAGAGTTAAAAATAAGTTATATGGACAGATAAAAAATGATAATAATTGGTTTATCTTCTTATTTGACATACTCTACAACATATTTATTAAAAAATTATTATTTTTAAATTTAAATTTAAAGTAAAAAAATTTTTAATTGTAGATTGTAATTAATGATTAAGCCAGTGAATGTTGATTAGTATGTTAAATAAGAGGGGTGCGAATCATTTAAAAATTGAGCAGTAGTGATGTGATTGTGTGTGCAGAAGAGTTAAAATTAGCCTTGCGGCATGGTCGATTGAAGTTCAAAATTTTAAAAGTATTCGAGGTTGATTTTCAGTCTAGTAGTAGTATTAACATATATACTTTCAAAATAAAACAAAGCAGCAGAATTTATTGATATTTATAGCATAATTTTTTTAATACCATAAGTGTCTGCTGCTTTACCTAGCTAGGCAAACGCATAGAACTCTTAACAAGAGTCTAGGGTTTGGATCCAATATTGGCTTGTCCATTGAAATTGTTTTGACTTCCTGAAGCAGAGCCTGAATTCCATCCTCCAGCACCAGGGCCCATATTTATAGGGGCGCCACCACAGGGATAGGCATAAGGAACGGCGAAACCTGGGGCACAAGGATTGGCAAAGCCTGGGGCAGAAGGACTGACAAAGCCGGGGTTGACAGTCCACATTCCACCACTAACGTGGTTAGATCCAGAACCTTGGCCAAAGTTCTGGCTTCCAGAACCAGTGCCGACGTTGTTGGTTCCATAGTTGTTGACACCGTTGCCCCAAGCCTGAACTCCATTATTGTTGCCGCCAAAGGTCGACATTTTTCTTCACTTAAAAGACTTACAATATCAAGTAATTTGCTTATTTGCTTTGTTCGCTTTGATGAGATTTTTGCCATGAACTGAGGTCCTTATATAGGAGGAGGAAGATAAGATAATGCATTAGAATGTCTTTGATCAATAAATGGAAACAAGCACCAGATTCTTTTACAAATAATTCAAAGAAATATGGGGACCGGGGACTGGAATCTTAACATTTTTCTTTTACATATACGAAAGGATAATGTATTAGAATAGAAATCAATTTTGTTTCTTTAAAAGTGGGACTGGAATCCATCTTTGGAAAATACTTTTGATTAGTGTCCAATTCAATATACCTTTTTACATTTGCCTTAGTTCAATTATTAAAATATATATTATTTTTATTTCAAAATAATTAGTCTTTTAATTTTGAATTTATTCTAAATTAATTGTTATTTTTTTATTTTACAAGGTAGACGAATATTTTTTTCCTTCTTTAACTCTATTAATTATTATCTAGTTACTTTAATTAATTATTCAATCGCAAAATTTCTCTCTTTATCTTTTATTTATTTTTTAAGGGTATTATAAAATGAATACAAATATTGTCTCTAAATGCTTAATTTGGGAAAAAAAATTAATAGTTATTTTGGAATAGAAGGAGCAAGATAAGTATAACTGATTCAACTGGTTTTCATATCTTGTATATATGGTCTCATTTTAAATTTATTTGTCTTTAATTTCAAAGTAAAAGGTAATAATTTTTTAATAAATATATTGTACAATATGTTAAATTGGAGTGCATTCAAATTACTATCATCTTTACATGGATGCTTTTGCATGATTGCTATCTCTTTGCATTAAGAACTCAACACGTATCTCACTGCTAAAAATTAGCTTAATTAGTAAAAATTTTCATTTAAAATTCATATTTCTTCTTATAATACGAATATGTATTAATATATTTTCATGAATTGAATTTTTCATCAGCAAATAATTTGTTATTATTAAGAGTGAGCACAAGTGGTATTCCAATATGTTACAATAAGTTACATCGATCTCACAAAACAAGTGCAGTGTAGATTCAACTACAACTTCTCCATGAAAAGAATGGAGTTTATAAAACATCAACCAATCCAAAAAGAGCCTGTTATCCAAGTGAAATTGTAATACCCCAAAATTTCTTAGAGCATATAAGTTGAGTTAGGGACTTAATAGTGAGAAAATATTATTAATGGACCTAACTGTCAATTTTTCAAACTTTAAAGGGGTTAAAGCTCTTATTGGATAAGGCCGGCTGACTCATTTCTCTTTTCTTTTTCTTCTTTCTTTCTTTCTTTCCAGCCATCCTCGCGTTTGCTTTGTTTTTCTCCCTGCTGCAGCCGAAGTGAACCCAGCCATTTTCCAGCGTCCCCATCTGCAAAATTGGTAAGAGAACTTGATGATTTTTGTTCTCCTCTTGCCCAAGAACAAGTCTAGGACTTA